CGTCGAGCATTCGATATATTCGCAAAACTTGATGGATAACATCGACAGGCCTTCCAGACGCAAACGATAAATCAAGCAAACCTCGACAGACACTGTATTCGTTTCTTTCGATCTCAATTGCAGATTGTATAATCTTTGTTATACAGTTTGTAAAAGCATTCCTCCCCACTCGTGGAAAAGAACATTTTCCAAAAATAATCATTTGCGATCGTGCGAAACGTTGCCACGAAAGTTCTGACGATTGAACTTTGAGCATGGATACTGCTATATGTACCGATGTACTATTTGTTGTTCATATATATATTCATATCTATGTGTGTGTGTGTGTGTGTGTGTGTGTGTGTGTGAGTGTAGATACATCCATGCATTCGTGTTTTACTTCAAATTAATGCTATAAATACTAATTTAACGTTGGCAGATGTGAGAACAGCTTGGCTTTAACTTGCGTCAGTCAAATTTTACGCAGTAAATCGATCAACGCGTTATTAACCAGTTATGAAATCGTATCGTTTGGTATAGCAATATTGTTGTTATTTCAATTTTATGTTTCTCCGAATGTGTTCCAAAAAATAGTCGTATACCTAGGTGCATATAATTTAGCGTTAAAGTCGAACAGGTGGGCGAAACGCATAATCGTCATTAATAGAAAGCTCGTGAAACTACGCCCGCCGTATTTTATTTTCGACGTTGGTTTACACTCACGAGTAATTTAATACCAACCGAGAGAGAAAGAGAGAGAGCCGAATTCTATTTATAAATTTTGGAGCTTTTTAATAGAAGAAGAAGAAGAAGAAGAAGAAAATGAAGAGGGAACAGGAGCTTTCTTTCTTCGCGATAGAAAAAAAAAAAAAAGAAAAAGAAAAAGCTGTGCTCGATTTTTGTTTCTCTTTTTTTCTTATTTTAAAAATAATACGTCTTTTTTCCTATCTTTCCACTTAGGCTCGCAACAAGGAACAAGAAGGGGAAATTCTCACTTGGATCGAGAACGTAGTCGGTGAGAAACTTCCGCCAGGAAATTACGAAGACATTCTCAAAGATGGTGTTGTCCTTTGCAAATTAATCAACAAACTCGCACCTGGTTCCGTCAAAAAGATTCAAGCTAAAGGAACGAATTTCCAACTTATGGAAAATGTTCAAAGGTTGATGAACTTGTTTTCTCGTTTTCTTTCAATTAAGAAATATTTCTTGTTACACAAAAGATGATAATAAAAATGTTAATTATTCGATTAGGTTCCAAGCAGCTATCAAGGAGTATGGTGTACCGCAGGAAGAAATCTTTCAAACGGCAGATCTTTTTGAGAGACGTAATATTCCTCAAGTGACTCTCTGTCTTTATGCACTTGGCAGGATCGTGAGTAATAGAATAGAATATATAATTTGTAATCTTTACGATATTTCTCTTTTTTTTTTTCATTTTATTTTCTTTTTATTTGTATTAAACAGACTCAAAAACATCCGGAATACAATGGACCCCGTTTGGGACCAAAAATGGCGGATGAAAATAAAAGGACGTTTACGGAAGAACAATTGCGTGCAAGCGAAGGTCAACTCAATTTACAAATGGGATTCAACAAGGGTGCGAGCCAAGCGGGTCACGGTGGATTTGGAACCACTCGGCATATGTAGATCTATGTGTGAAACCGGAACAGTTATTTATTGTAACATCTCGCTATAAATCGATCAATCAAAAAAGGCAACGACGGAAAGGGTGACGAAGAGAGACAGAGCCGAATGTTTTGACACACGTCTATATTCCATCTCACAATTCTGCTAGTACACAATAAGCCAAACATTTTACATACAAAAAAATACATTTACATGACAAGGAGCAAAATGAAAAAAAATGATTAAATTTTACATATTAAATGTAATTAAATACATATAACGATATTAACACGTCACAAATATACACATATATTACACATGTACACACACACATATACACGCATACACGAAGGAATAATTATGGACAAATTATCGAATATTTGATTTATATTTCTTTATTAATATTTTAGATGTTTCATTGAATGATAGGATACGATTGAATTCGAAGGATAAATGAAAGAGTTAGGATCTTGTAACGTATTGCTCGATAATTCGACGATGATAATTATTTAATATTAATTATCGATGTAAATATGGCATAAAATATCCGTACGCCCACCCAATCCTATATATCTTTCGTCTCTTTTCATAAGGTTTATATTGATATAAAATATATATTTCTTATGTAACGAATGAGCAAACTTTTTTTTCTATCTTTGTAATTACGATTAAAAAATACCGATCGATTGTATCGTAGATGTATATTTTTATAGATCTATATCTTTCTATTGATTTTTAAGAAATTTTCGAGAAATTTGTTTTCAAAACGATGTAACGAAAAATGAATTTTTTTACAAATTCTTTTTAAATATGTTAAATCAAAATGGCTTATTATCAAAAACTCATGCGGCCTGTCGCATTACGATTAAAAAAAAAACAATAAAAGTAGGTTTATGAATTTATTTGATCATCGAAATATACATTTCTGTACATTCAAAATTACATTTATGTATCCGAATGATTATTTTTAGTATTCGTCGAAGTTTCAAGATATAGATCAAACGTTGTTATTCGTTAAAAGTGAATTTTTATCCAAGATTCGTAATACGATAATGACACAATTTTTCGAGAAATTCAACTAAAACGAATATATTCTGACGTGGTAAAAGTTAATTCAAAGTTTTACTTGGCACGAGAGTACCTTCGAGTTATTTCTGGAAGTCGTAGAAGCGTCAGCCATTGCTGGACTCGGGTCATGGTCCTATATTAATTTAACCATGGGATTAACCTTAAGACTACTTTGAATATATTAATATACGAATCTTCTTGTTCTTTTTATTTTTTTCATTTTTTTTTCCAAAATACAACGAGACTCTCTGATGAGAATTTAATTCTGACTTTCACGCTGACTGATCGAAAAATAAGTTTTGTATTTTGAGCTTTTTAGTATAAATCTGTGGTAAAATACTGGAGAAGACGAGAAGAGCAACAAAATATGTCAGAGCACGGTGCGTAATCGCTGACTCACGTCAGACCAAAAACAAAATACGACGAAAGACGAGTCCAAAATTAGATGGTGGGTTATTAATGAAAACTTTAAATACGAACATTTTGTATTAGTCAAATGATTTCAATTAAAACATCTATATATCATTTTTTCATGACTTGCGTTTTTATTTGAACGCGTCATTTAAAGTGTTATATACCAATATACATACGTAACCAATATCACATAAATTTTCGCTTACCAATATTTTATAGTAAAACTCATAGATACAATTCTAGATATTATTCTAGTTATTATTTATCGAACGATATCGTACAGTGAAATAACGCGTTACTCGTTAGTTCACTGCACGACGATTCATCTGTCAAATCACAGCTGATTAGAAAAACACCCGGACGTTTCTTGTCATACGTAAAACAAAAAAACAAAAATGAACAATAAGGTATCTTTGGCAATAATTCTATGTTTATTTATAGCTTTCTAATATTTCTTGTACATTTGAATTTATGGAATTTATTGATATTGACCGATCTGATAGATAAAAATTTCGACTTTTGTACAATTTTAATAAAAATGATTTACACGAGCCATGTGGAACGTATCCAAATGGCGCTTACCTGCCACAACGGACGTCCAGGCATGATGAACTCTAACTCTTGGATAATTTCTTCGTGATTTTCCTCAAACACGGAACTTGATGAGAAAGCACAGCTTACAAGTCTCAGCTCAAGCGTAAGCACAAAAAGTGTGCGGCTCGGGATCGGTCCTGCGTATATATTCGTGACAAGTGTAAGTTCGTATTAGTGCACGTGGGTAGCGTTTCTATATATGGATCACTTACTCATCACCGACATACTACGTATACGTTCGTGTGTGTGTGTGTATATATAAATATGTATAGATATATTTTACTAACGCACGAGCTTTTCATTTTCATCGCATTTCATTACACGATGATTTCGCGAACACCACGTGTTGTTTGCTTTGCGGTAACTGAAGATATACATTCACATACTTATGATTTCATAAAATTACAGAATTCAGCTGCTACTTATTTCAGGAAATATTTAGCAAGAGAAAAAACACATGGAATGAAAATTACAAGTGATTTTAACATTTGACAGTAAAAATCATCTGAGAAAAACTCGAACAGATAAAATATAGGCCATGATTTGTTATAAAAAATATAAATCTAATCATAATTTTTATCTATAGATACGTATCTTATTATTTTTTGCTATTTGGATGAGAATTTGAATGCCATTGTGGCATTTTTATATGTTTTTTAATATCCAATAGACAAAATTTTAAAAACCAATCAACATAAAAAATGTTTACCTTAAAATTAATAAAATATTTATTTAATATTAATGTCCCAATTGGACTTGAAGCTTGGTTTGCCTTTTATACTACTTTTAAAATTGCGCTCCCGTGGTAGCGTGGCCGAGCGGTCTAAGGCGCTGGTTTAAGGCACCAGTCTCTTCGGAGGCGTGGGTTCGAATCCCACCGCTGCCAGTATTATTTTTTTTTACTATCCTCTAGAAAGGACGATGGAGAGATGCGTACAAAGGAAAGATGACATTACTCGTGCGGCTAACATTGAAGAGATTTGCGCGATCACTAGTGTATGCTCGGGTACGATTCTTTTGAAGGTCCAATGGCTTGCGTCGGCACGCGGCGCCGTGGTTCACACCTAACAGGATCACATACTCGAAGGGAGCTAATCTCCCGCCACGCACTGGCGAACCGCTTATACGACGTCTTGCGGCGACCTCGAATACTAATGCCGTAAAAATGGCAGCTGCGAGTGCACCCGGCGACTATTTGGTGTGACATCTAGTGGCAATCTCGGATATTAACGCCGTAAACATGGCGAGCCCGCACGCAATGACTGAACCGTCTGTGTGACGTCTAGCGACGATCTCGGATACTAAGGCCGTAAATATGGCGGCTTCGCTCGCGACACAGTTGTATATATATTACTCGAGTGAATTTTACCTATAGAATACTACCGTATCAAAGTTACTATATATCTTTTTCAACGTTTTTACTAGTCATTCATATATACTTCTACCGGCCGAGTTAATTAGATATTATAACGCGATCTCGTTGCTAATGAAATTTGAGTTCGACCAAATGGATCAGCAATATTTCGAGATTCTTCGAGGTAAAATATTCTTCTTTTTTTGCTTCATATAAAGAAAGGACATGTATATCCTCTCTCTCATGCTCTTGCAGTTCGATGGGATCCTGTTGAGATTGTTGTTGTCGGGGGCTCGCCATTCCATTTGGTAGAGACGATTTTCTTCTAGCTACCAAAAGAATAACAATAAGAAAGAGAAATCGTAATAAAGGTAGGTGTAATAAAAGTAAAAAATATACTGAAAGATGACTCCAATGCATTTTGCTATCCTGATACAAGTTTCATTCGAAAGATGCCACCACGGACCACGCCCCATTGGTATTCATGATATCGATCCCGTTCGTGTTTCGAGTTCAATTTTGGTAGTAGAATAAAACGCGTGCGTGGTATTTACTCACTTTCAATCCACGTTTAACTACATACGTTTGTTCTCTCTCCATAATTTTCATACGAATTAAAATAATATTTTCGTATTTTTTAATGAAATCAATTATTATTTTCTAAATCGTATTTGAAAGGTTTCGATTAAGGCCTTCAAAGAATCATAAAGATTTATAATAAACTGTTTAAAAATTTGGTCATATATTAAAATTATTTAACATGAATTAATATTTTTAAAGATATAGGTAATTATAAGGTTTCAAGATAAGATTACTTATCTTTGATTTCCCAATAACTAGACTCCGTGGCGCAACGGTAGCGCGTCTGACTCCAGATCAGAAGGTTGCGTGTTCAAATCACGTCGGGGTCAAGAGATATATTTTTTTGTCAATTTTAACAATATTTATATAGACACCGTTATCATTATTTAATAATTCCGACTTTCGAGCCTATTTTTTTGATTCATATACGTACGATAGATTATATAAAATATTAAAGCAATTCGGAAAGTTGTATTTTTAAAAAATGTTAACTAGATCAGTGGCAAGAAAATACAAAATATAGCAATGCAAAAGATTGTAAGTTGACAAAATTATCTAATCTATTAATGTTGTGCTATTTCATTTGTATTCATTTATTAAAGTAAAAAGAATATAAATTCACGAATTTTGTAGTATTCGCATGTAGATAACGTATAATATTTTAGTTTTCCATAATAATGATAGTATATAACAATAAACGTAGTTTGTTGGCAGACATTTCTTCCTTGATGTCAGTCCGCTGTACCTTTCTTTCTGTGACACGTAGTGTGGATCGAGCTCACATCCCGCATAAGAACGGTAAGAGATTAGGATATCATGGACCGGAGAAATTTCTTCTCTCTCGTACGGTTGAGCGGCATTCGCGCGGGTTGTCTCATTTAGCCCCTCCTGGCACTAGGCTAGTACGACCTTCCAAGAGGTCCATCATCTTATGGGCTTCTGTTGTCATCTGTCCTATGGTAATTTCTAAAATTCATTTCGAGTAAAAACGTTTATTCGATGATACATACGAAGAAAATTTATTTCGAACATGTGTGTGATTATATATATAATCATATTTTCATAAGAATATTTTTATTTAAGTTTGAAAGAAAAGGAAAGAAAAGAAAAATTGATATAAAAGAAAAAGAATAACAATGATACGATTGTATTTATATGTTGCATTGTTATTATTATATATGCAATGAGAAAATCGACTGTTATTTTCCGATTGAACTTCGTACGTGAATCATATAATAAATTATTCCAACGTTTCTCTCTCGTTTATCAATTAATTATCATATTCCGTCTTATCTGACTCAACTACGTCTTGACTTCGATTGCTCTTATGTTTTCCTACTTCTCTGTACCGACTGATTGAGTCTAAATGATTCTGATTGTTAATCATCGAACGTCCGTCTATTCCTGATTATGTAACAGTCATCATCGTGCCTTCGAGGCTATTCCAATGAACCAATGAACATCGTGGGGATGACCAATCGTACTTACACGACAAAACAAATCAGAACACACGTGGCCTTCGCTTGAGAAGAATTTTCAACGCTCGTCATTTATTCATTCTCAACAAATAAATGTAATAAAAAAAAATGCAGGTAAGAGTTTATTCGTAGAAAAAAAAAAAGAGACCTTGAATGCATGGACGTAGTCGTATACGTGTATAAGAACGATCATGACTTATATTATTAAAAAGTTTGTCGCGTTTCTCGTGTCGTTTCGCCTTTATAAACATGGCGGTCGATATTATCTGTCCTCCGATCATTTTCACAGTCCTTCGTAATCTACATTTAGCGGGTAGAATGGACATAATCAACAATTTAACCGACAACTCACGAGGAAATCATGAAACCGAGTTAGTAAATTGTGCAAGCTCAGGGTCGAGCACGGTTTATGCTTCGTATCGTTCATGCTAGCCGTGGATCGGAAAGACATAATTTTGAGGAAGAGCCGCGCGGGCCCTAAGCACCTCTGTGACGTATCGCCACTTTATTGGTCCACAATGATCTCTTTCCTCGGGCTTATTGGTTCATTGACTTCGAAACAGCGAGAAATTCGGCAGATTGGTGGTCCAGGTATACTCGTGAAGGATTATGCGAGCGTCTTGGCCTGTGATCAGTGCTAAGAGACTTTCACTAAACTCTATGGAAGGCTTAGTATTCTGTAAGACAGCCGATCATGGGACAGTGACACCGTTTTCCCCAAAACTGACGTTAATAAACTTCGTGTATCTCTCTTTCTCTCTTCTCTTCTCTCTTTCTCTTGTAAGCATACTCACACATTTACAGTTAAAACCGTACTTGAGTCACGTCAATGTTCTCGCATACAACTCATTCATGTATATACTTCGACGGAGCTCGATAAGTACTAGTGTAAAAGAAAGATATATAATATATATATATATATATAACACATTTCGCCAACGATCGAGCGTTATTACGCTTTCCCCTAAAATTAACGAACATTCCCGGTGGGGAGAAACCTTCACGTAATGCTTTCATATTCTTCAAGCTGAATGTCGCAACGTGTATATGTACGTGAATGATACGTATGTGTATACATATCTTTTGAAGTATGCGTATACTCGACTCGTGAGACACGCGAGAACGCTTGCTTCTCTGTACGCCGCGGAATTGTAGGTCCCTGTATGCGTTCCTGTTGAAAAAATTCCTCACGGGCGAAAGTCAAGGCATGACGGAATATCTCGTAATAAGAGAGAGCGTGTCGAGGTCGGACTAACGTTAGTATGATGTTAGCCTGGCATTAGGAGGGGCTCGATGAGACAACCCGCGCGAAACTTCGTTGAATGTAGGGAGAGGTAGGATCTCCTTTACTTTCATGCGTGCCGCGTATTTGGATGCTCGCATGCGGGATGTGAGCACGCATCGCATGCTTGTTACCAAGTACATGCCACGGTATAACGTTCTAACCCATCCTTTCTTTTAGTATTCTATATGTATTATCCCTTTTTTATCGGACGTTAATAACCTTTCACATGACAACGATACTTTGGCGTTGCGATCGTCTGTCATGTGAAAAGTGACAAACAAAATATGTATATTATTATATGCGTATAAAACAAAATCAGCTACAACCTTATGAGAATCATATGAAAAAAATTGATGACCGATAAGGATTATATTTCACTACTATATGTATATATATATGCATGCATATACATAAGTTAGAAAATACGTAAACAAGTGAAACTAGATAACGTATCAGTATACGTGTAACTTTTGAGTAAAGAGAAACTTTCACTTACTTGCTTGAAAATAGTCATTTTATAATTCTACATTATCTACGATTGTAAGTTATATTATTTTTTAAATATATTTGATCGATACGTCGATGAATTCTTCGATTTAATTAAATATATAAATAGATTATTTTTACATGATTTTAAGATCGATAATATAAAATTATAAAGTTATCTAATCAAGTATAATACGCGTAAAATTAAATAAATAAATTTATTTATCATAATAAAATCCTAAGTATCTTACTTTAGACACGTTTCTCATCGAAGACTCCGTGGCGCAACGGTAGCGCGTCTGACTCCAGATCAGAAGGTTGCGTGTTCAAATCACGTCGGGGTCAATTGGAATATTTTTTTTGCTTTCATTTCTTTATTTTATAATTTAATAATTTACAGAAAATTGAATGCCATTGATGCGTTTTCTTTTTTTTCTTTTATATCACGATGTACGCCTATGCATCACACGTAATACTGGCATTTAAATAATGCATAAAATATTATGAAACTTAACTTAAGAACAATTGTTGCTAATATTCCGGATCTTAAAAGACTAGAAATAGAAATATGTATGAATTTCTTTCTTCGTAAAAAATAATTAAAGTAATAATTATTGTTGTATATAAATGAATTCTTTTGTATGTTATGTGTGTGTGTATTAATATTATTACTAACTTGCAAGCATTTTCAAGAAGCAGTCGTGGCCGAGTGGTTAAGGCGTCTGACTAGAAATCAGATTCCCTCTGGGAGCGTAGGTTCGAGTCCTACCGACTGCGAAATGTTGATTTTTTTTTTGAAATTTAATATTTCATCTATTTCAATTAAGCACATCGATTATAGATAAATTAAGCTATCTAATTAATTGTGGTTGAAATTTTTGAATATATTCGAATTAATTTAAAATTTAGAATACTTCTATATTATTATTTTCTTTATATGTTCGCTTTCTTTCTATGTAAAACACATACACAATACTGTTTTAAATTACTTTCTATTTATACTACATTCTACATTTTTATTTTTATTTCTTTTCGAAGATTCATATCCTTTTTCCTTATCAGAAAAAAAATGTAAAATGAAACAATATCGAAAAAATATTTAAACTAATATAGATGTCCGTTTTTATTTCCAATTTCTAGTCGATCCTTTAGATCTGTTATTTTTGTATCATACCAAAGCCGTAACTGATATGGAATCGATACAATATGTCCGGTCCTAAAAAATTGAAATTGAAAGTGATATGGGAAAAATCGGTTGCGTACATAAAAGTTATATCACTTTTTTCGATTCTTTTTCGATTTTTATAACTGTTTCAGAAACCAAAACCAATGTCATAACTCTTTTCAATCTCTACAATATAAATTTTCATCACTAACTAATACATACTATCTCATTCTTTATTATATCTACACACATCATTTTTATAATCATTATAATAAACTACTATTAATATCTCACAGTTAATCAATTCAATATGCAACAAATTAGCGACGATGATAAGATTGAGATATTACGAGAAGTGCAGTGTTACAAATTGCAAATACATTCAGGTGTATGCAATTTATGGTACATGGTGTGAGAAGTTAGGAGAACTAGTTTGCAGAATTTTCCTTTTCAATGTTCTGTATATCTTTACCTTTATTCATATTGCATAAAGGGAAGTATCAAATGCAAGTATTATAGTCTTATTTATAAAAAAAAAAAATTAACAATAAATGTAAGAAATAAAGAAATATGGAACAATGTATGACCAGTGAGAAAGAATAAAGAATTTTTGATTTATGAATTATGCATCAAGGCCAACTCTAATAGAAACTAATTTGTAAGCTTAAAGTCGACTGAGTAAAATGAGAAACATTCTCGCCTTCGAAAGAAAATACTGCAAGCGTGTTTCTGGAATCTAATTACACGAAATTTTTTTTTTTTTTTTTTTTTTTTTTTTTTTTTTTTTTTTTTTTTTTT